AAAGTGGGACAAGAGTCCAGTTCGGCACCCAAATGCCGGACCGGGCTATAGCGGGTGGACGCGTACGCCGTACTCGCTAGAAGTACGGATCGTGTCAATCGGGGATCCGCGTGGTCCCGTGGGGGCCGACTGACTTTCCCTTCTCTGACAGGGGCCGGCCTTTGTCATCAAAAGGCTGACGATCGCAGAGGGCTCCAAACGTCAAAATAAGAACCCTTTTGGGCAAGGGTGTCAAACTCATTTTTGTCGCGGGCCACGTTGTTGTAGTGACGGTTTCCCTTGGAGGGCCGCTATGAATTTTGGGAAACCATCTCAATGTTTAATCACCTCCGCATGTTCCATACAACAGCGCACAACAAATGGATGCAGAACTAGTTTTAAACTCAGAAGTCAAGAATCATGACTGTTGTTGCGGATGACATCTGACAATTTGAAATGTTGGTTGAGACTTTAGCAAGCATCGTGGAACTTGACATGCTTGATCTACTTTTGCGGGCCACATAAAATGAGGTGGCGGGCCAGATGTGGCCCCCGGGCCTCGACTTTGACACCTGTGCTTTTGGGGATCTTGACGGGAAAAAAAAAAAAATCAATGATGATCATGCTATTTATGAAATCAATAATCACTTTCTTCTTGACATTATTTGACGGGGGTGTATCCAGGATTTTTTTTTTATTATTTTTTTGAGGGAGGGGTTTCAGGTCTTGAATGTTACCTGCATGCACGTACGAGTCTCGATCACGTGGCCAGACTGGGAATAAACAAGCAAAGAAGCGCTTCGGTTGCCGCCGCGGCTTCGCCTGAGCCGCTTTGCATGCCGGGCCGGCGAAGCTGCGGCGCGGGCAGGTGGCCATTTGCGTGACACGTCCAAACAGAAGAAAGGAAAGGAGGGGCAAAAAATAACAAGCGCGACGCGACGCGCAGGGAGGTGCCGCCATCAAACGAAAGCAGGCCTTTGAACACGACTGGCCCGCAGCCGCACCATAATAAGCACCTGCCGCGCGCTTGTAATCACCGGCTACGTTTTCTGTGGGGGGGGAGGGGCCGGTCCGATCCCTCGGCACGGCCGGCAGAGTGAGGGCGTCGCCCGCCAAACCTGACCCGTGCGCGAGGGGACGTTCGCCCCCGGGGCGAGGACACGGGCGCGAGCACGTCGCCGAACCTTCGGACCCTTCTGAGACGTGCACGCTCTTTTTTTTGTGGGCACTCCGGGCAACGCCGCCGCCGCCGCCGCCGCCTGAAGCGCAATCAAATGACACCGGCGCTGTCAGATTCAGGCACGCGCGAGATAAGACAACAAACAACACGGCTCGCTTGAATCATCTTCCCGGCGGAGTCTACGCCCAGGTCGCGAGCCACAAATTCCACCGCAACTCTGGCGATGCGGACGATGTACGCGGGGCAGCTCGAGCGCGCCATTTGAAATGTAGCCGAGGGAAAACGGGCGAGCCGAGATGCCGGGCGAGAGGCGCGCGGATCCTTCCGCGCTCAAATCAAAGTCTGCCATTTTGAAAGGTGACCTTTGGGGGCACTCTCCGCCGGGGGCGTCCATGTTCGGCGCAAACGCGCGCACGAGCGCAACCGGATGCGGGCTTGGCAACCTGGAACGGATGCGATGGCCAGAAGCTATTGGATGGAAACTCAGCAGTCGCGGCAAAAAAAATGCAAAGAAGGAAATGGCCCACATTCAAATCCGCCACGGCCCAAAAGACGACTCCAAGTTTTGTTTTGGTCAGCAAACTATGGATGGACTACTGTGTCCATTTATCAACAAATTGGATTCAAAAACAAACTTTCCTTTCCATCCCTTGATTGAAAGTGACGGTGTCGAAAATGGCCAAACATAAATGATGGTCGCCGTCCGCAACGTCTCCGAAAATCGGCGAAAATGGTGACGGTCGCATTCAACAGTAAAAGCAAACGTTATACTTTGAGGAGCGCGACAGAAATCGGAGGATGATGACTTTAGCAATGCGGGAATTCCCCGGATTTGCACAATTTGAGAATTTAGAAAAAAAAAAGCCATTTCAACGATGATCCGATCAAAGCAAGCGAGATCAAAGGTCTTCGCGAGACACAAACATCAGCACGTGCTCGCTCGAGCTATCCGGAAACGGTCGCCTTTGGAAGCGTTTGCGCCGTCGCCATCAAAGATCAAAGCGGTTCGGCCGTCCGACAGAGAGCGCGGCGGCGGCATTCCTCGGCAGGCCTCCGCTTGACGGGGCGCCGAGCTAGCGCCGTTAGCCTCGGGGGGGGGCGAGGGCAGGATGCAACGCGCCCCGCGCCGGCGTTAGCCCCGCGGCACGGGAATGGCGGCAATCCTTCACGTACGCCATCCAGCGTTGGCTTCCAAAGGATACGTCGCAACGTTTTGCAAGGCATTCAACAAATGTTTTGCCTTTTTACATTTGGAACGTGGCTTTGAAGGTGATAAACAGGAGTCGAGTGTATGACCAGGTCGAAGGTTGCAGGTGGGGTGGGGGGGAGAGAGAAAAGTCCAAATTGGAACAATCCCCCCCCCAAAAAAGCAATATTGGAGAGCATTTGCAAACGCGCTGTTGGCGTTGCGCTCGCGCGATATGATGTGAGCGGCCGCTCTTGTGATTGCGACACCTGCGCTATCGCCAGCACATCACTCCAGCAAAGGAATCCAAACAAACACCAGCGGTCAGGCGTGTCATTTCCGATGCAAATGCCGTCGCCGCACGCGTCGGCCGACATGGGCGGATGCTCCACGGGCGGCTCGTTTGGGGGTTTTTTTTGGGCCCGCCCCCCTCAGGGCCAAACCGAAGCGAATGAAAAAGGCTCCTGACGCCGCGAGCCGTCTTGTAAAAGGATCGCGGAAGAGGCAGCTGACCGCCGCTGCCGCCGCCCTCGCCTCCCCCCCCCCCTTTCCTCCCCTCTCGGCGTGCTGAGGGGGAATACCGTGGCTTGAAATACTTTGTGTTAATACCTAGGTACACATGGGAGCAGTTACGCGGCGGCCCAGATGGCCGAGCCTCTAATTTGAAGCCCAAAGGCTGTCATTAAGAAGACTAAAAAATTAAAAAGGAAAGCCTGCGGATTTTTGCCGCTTCGGACATGAAAGCCGGCGCAAATTACAGCAAAAGGCGGGCGGGGCTCGGTTTGTGCGGGCGGGCTTATTAGATATCCGCGAGGAGGTTATGACCCGCTATTGTGCGCAGGGGAGGTGACGCCAATAAAAAAAAAACGAGGGCGGACGTGTCGAGAAAAAAAACAAGAAAAGAAGCAATGAAAATGACACGGGCTGGCATAGCAAAGCGGCGCGGAGGCACGTGGGCACTGGCTTCAATCCGAGGCCCGCGCGGGTCGGCCGGGGGCGTCTTTGCACATCGGAACCAATTCCAATGCGACGTTATGGAGCCGGGGGGCAATCATGATTTTGCTGCTTCGCTATGATAAATATTTTCACAAGTGATTATTTTCCCATTGACTAATCAGATGTAAATCAAGACAGCCAACACCGAGCCAAAATATGCCCGTGAGGGATCATCTTTGGTCACTGGGAGTCGCCCTTCTCACTTTCTAAACGATATCGGCGGTGACTTTGAGCGTGTGTGGCTTGAAAGGGCAGGGGGGTCCGGGTCCGGGTCCGGCCAGCGACGCGTGCGTTTGACTGCGGCTAGCTCAGCTTAGCCAGTCTGGGCACCGTGCGCCCGGGGGCGTCCGTTCCGGCCGTTGCCGCCTGTGTGCGCTCAAGACGTGTTTGTTTTGTTCCTGCTGGCGCAACAGAGACATTCAAAACGCACACAAACATTGTGCGCTTTTTATGCGCTCGCTCCTCCCGGCATGAGAGATGGAAGTCTTGCTTGAATTGTCCATTTTTTTCCCCCCCCCAACTGAATCGCTTCAGCGTTAATCATAACATTTGACCAGAACTCGTATTCCAAATTTAAGAGCGGTTCACCAACTGTTGTGGAATCGATCCATTCAAATTTCAACCCGAGGACAAAGTGTGACAAGACGCTGTGAAAGCGTCGCAGGATTTGCTGGCGTTTGCCATCGAGCCCGCGCAGCTTTGCTTCGGCCTCATTCGAGCGGATTCGAGTTGACGGTCGCGCACATGTTGCAGGGAAGGCAATTTGGATGAAAATCGAAGCTTTGTCTCACGTTTTTGGCCTATCGCTCGGGAGCATCATTCGGTCACGCAACTTGAGGTGCCGAACGCAAGCCGACACCTTTCAGCATTGTGAAGAATTCCAAGAAAAAAAACAATTGTTAAATTCCATATCGAAATCAACACAGTAGGGCCGAATTTGACAGCATCGCCCCCCCTCCCTCCCCAAAAAAAGGATATAAGGCTAGAAACAAGTGAATTTCCGTTTTTGTAACATGGGTAAACACAAGGTGTCACGGGTCCTTTCTGGTCCTAATTCCAAGATTTCGAGCCAGTGTTGACATTTCAAGAATGCCATCGTCACCCAAAAACAAACAAAAAAAGCCCATTTCCAAGACCACTGTTGGAGCTTTGGGTCAAGCAATCAAGTAAACAGCACCAAGGCAAAGACCTTTCAGGCCCGGAAATCGCGCAGTGTCAAAGGCTGTGTGGAGCCTTCGCGCCTTTTGAAGGCATCCATCCCCCAGTGGGGGCTTTGCCAACAAGTCCCAACTCCAATTCCGACCACTTCTTGGACCAGTCATCAATCAACTGAGATTGGCGCTTTGAGGAAAAACACTTGATCCCACAATGCGGGCGTGTGCGAGAACGGGACGAGGCTGGCTGGCTGGCTGGCTGGCTGGCTGCACCTCCGAGGCACTTTGGAACGGGGCCGTCGGGGACCGAAACACCCCACCGAACGCTCACTTTCCACACCACATCCAACATATTCGCACGTAAAGGACGCTTTGAGCGGTGACGCCGGGGAAAGAAAAAAAAAAAAAAGAACCAAGCGAGGCAAAGAAGAAGATGACGAAAGAGAAGGAAAAAGAAGAGGAGAGACAACAGGTTGCGGACGGACTCGATCGCTCGCTCACTCACCGGTGTCGAAGTGCGAGAGCGAGGCGGAAGACAGGAAGAAGAAGCCGGCCAGCAGTAGCCAGGCGGCGGCGGCGGTCCACGGCTCCATCGTCCCGGCTCGGGCGACGCGAGGCGAGGCGGGATCGGCTCTCGCGCTCCACTCGGCAAGTCCGCTACAGCGGCCGGCAGCCTTCGAGCGCAGCGGAGGCGCGGGCGCTTGGGGGACTAGTAGAGGGCAGCGCGGAGGGATCCGAGTGGCGGGCCATGTGACAGGAAACTCAGCCAAACGCTCTCAACCTGCGCCGAGGAGGCGGAGGCGGAGGCGGGGATGGGGGCGGGGCCTGGGAAAGGTTAGTCAAGTGTAAAAAGTCATCCATCCCAAGTGCTTGTTTGGACCAGTTTTTCCCAACCTTTAGTCAGCCCAAGGCGCATATTTGACATTCGAAAAAGCTCAATTGGCAGGGAGGCACCCCCCCCCCACCTCCTCCACCATCTCAAGGGCCAAGCCAGATAATTGACTTTGAATATTTTCAATTTTTTTTTCAACCACAGTCCGCCCGCCCGTTTTCCCATTCCCCTTGTAGGTGTTAAAACCAAGGATTTTCGTTTCTTCCCTTTTCTGTCGAGTGAATCCCGTTCGCTTTCGGGCGGCGACAGACCGACCGTCCAGTCACACAAGGTGACTTCCAGATTCCTCCCACTTGTTTTTCTCTTTTCAAGACACATTCATTAAAGTTTTCCGTCCCTGCGGATGCTGCGGTGGTGTCTCCCTTGTCCGACGCTTGCCTTTGACGGACGACCCTCTCGTGTTGGTTGGACGCGGTCCAAATTTTAGACTACGGGCAAGCAACATCTTTTGCCACATTCCTGCTTACTTTTCTTTTTCGACAAGTTTGATCGCCCTCTCCTTTGACTGACATTCGTGTCTGTCCACTCGGCGCGACGGCTCTCGTGTACTGCGGACGAATCGAACGGAGGCGTTTGTGGTGGGAACGGAAATGGGCCGAGTCATTCCCGAACGTGTTCCTGAGAGCGGCGTGATTCCATAAGCATCGCCTCAAGATCCTTTTGGTGTCTGCATGACGACGGTGGACAGAAAGGCGAGGCCATGTGGCGGTTCAAAGTAAGCCGCGTGTGGCTCTCTTTGTTTTGCGTTGAATTTGACATGCGGTACGCTTGTGGCGTGTACTGTTTGTACACGCGGGCTAATTGCTAATTGTTCTGCCATCTTGCAGAAGAGCATTTAATTGTCCCGCCTGTCAGTACGCGGAGGGTAGACGAGGAAGGGAGTCTCGTCCAGCTTGTCATGTGAGTCCCGAGCATGACAGAAGAGGACGCGGTCGATGGCAAACGCCGTGTCGAAAAGTCCCAATCGAGCCGTGCGGTTACTGTTTGGTCGACGCCGCGTCGCTGCTGTAATTGCGGAATTCTTTTGCCATCAAAAGCTCTTTCTTGCTCTTGTTTTTGTCGTTTCCTCGTTTGAGGCGTCACAGATGTAAGCGAATACGAGCCTCAAAGTTACTGTTCTGCTCGACAACTTTCGATGGACGAAAGGCTCTTTTTCTCCGCTTTTGGGACAAACTCAACTCAAGTTCTTTTGCTGTGCAGGAGTTCACGTCAGCATAATTGGAATAATAAGAAGAGGAAAGATAGTTTCTTTCCAAGGCAAGTTCAGGTGTCCCATTGTCATCATTTTAACGTTGCGATCTCAACTACTTGATTTGAAAAGGGATTGAAATTTGAGCTCAACGAACTCCGTGTGAACAAGGGCGGCAGACGGGAAGGTCATACAAGGGACACGTTCATAAATCAAGTCCTTGAAGGTGCCGTCATTCTTTTCATGAGAAAGAGTCAGACAAACAAACAGCTTTAAGTGGGAAACAGCACCCCCTGCTGCTCCTCTCCTGCATTGAGCGCCTGCACAGAGCACAAAGGAGCGTTTCAAAGTTTGGTTGTTGAATTCTGGGATGCCTGGAGATGCAAATTACAGTTGCTTAGCACCCACGCTTGTCACTTCAAAGCCCAAAATACTCAAAATCATCTTCCCGCAGTGAAGTCAACGGAAATGCAACGAATAGGTCGCTCTTGCCCTTTAGAGTCAACCGAAGCATTTGTTCGGAGCCCCAACGCTCGTCTTTTAAAAAGGTACGTGCCGGCCAACACCCAATAATTTCCACTCTTTTATGCGGGGATGGGCGCGTATCGACACCAGCTACTGTATTTGGTACCAGCTCGCGATACCGATACTGTGGAGGGGGGTGGGGGAGGGGAATCCCCTGGGTTCTCCAAATCACCAATAGTGTCCGATTGGGATGGAAGAGGCGAGAGGGTGGCCGAGTCGCCCCTTTCACACTGACCGTCAACACGCCTATTTTGATTTCAGTTCTGTGTGAAAGGGCCCGTCATTCTTGTCAAGTGCCTCCGTTTTCTTGGGGTGCCGCTTGTGTGAAAAGGTACCCACGTGGAAGATGGCGGCGGGAGGGGGTTGTCGCAGTGGACTCGCGGACGTCCTGGCTTCCGAGATCAGACCGGAGCCGCGTCTCCGCCACCGCCCGCCCGTCCTTTGGCCCCGTCGCTCATTGGTGGGAAAAGTATCGACGTGGATCCGGGGGCGACGGACTCCTCGGGAGAGCCAAAAGGGCGGCCGCACGTTGCGATGCGCCCAACGAGGCCGAGGAGAACAGCTTATCGCCCGTCCGTCCGTCCCTTTTATCGCCGCAGGTCGTTCATCGTTTGGGGGGCGGGGGGGGATCGCGCAAAAGTGTGCCGGTGTTGGGCTCTTTCAAACCAAAGCGCAAGAGTCGTGGAGGCCGGCCCGGCTCTCGGCTTTCGCTCGGCACTCCCGTTAAGACCCTTGATGAAGACCATCCCTCAACGCGCCCCTGCGGCCGTAATCCTCTCCTCGCGGAGGATGATTGATGCACACGCGCCGGAATGCCCTCGGCGGACGTGAGAACAGACATTTTCCGCTCACGCCGACTTTGGCGCCTCACGGCGGAGAGAAGACGGCTTTCGCAGGCGGTGTGAAAGGGGCGACAGAGTTCCATTACACGCCCATCCATCGAGTCCGCGTGGGTATCTTTCGTGCACGACGGAGACGGGAAAAAGGCCGTGTGAAACTCATCTTCCCTGCCTCGTTCGGCACATCATTAAGCAAGAATGTGCTTGACTTTTTTTTTTTAAATTTCCCTCGCTCCCCGCAATCGGAACAAAGCCGGCGCTGCGGCGGCGTGGGAGTCGGCGGGAATTCCCGCACCTGCTCTCGAACGCGCACAGGTGGGATCATAAATCTCCCGACACGCCCAATGGCCACCGAGGCTTTTTCACAGCAGGAGATCTTATCCAGCTTCAAAAGTATGACACGGCGACTCTTGATGCCGCAACGACTTTCCACGCCAGAACGACGGCGGCCCTCCACCCGAGCCACATTCGGAACCGGAGAGAGACGAGCGCAAATGGTGTTGCCGTACTTCTCGGCTTCGGCGGTCATAGCGCCGCTTTGCTCGCTATTCCGTGTGACGGGAAGCGTGAGGTCAGCCCGCAAATTTCCCAGCTTGGAGGCTCGTGTCAGAAGCGGGCGTGCAGCCCCTTTCACGCCGTCTGTAAAAGTTGGTCACGTTTCACTGTTCTGTGTGAAAGGTACGGCGGCGCGGTGGAGGTCTTCGAGTTGACCTGGAAATTTCCTGGCTTCTTTGGCAATCTCCGTCACAGCGGCTGCTTCACAACTCGCGCTGTTCTGTGCACCGAGGTGGTCAAAATTCCCCGGCCTTCGAGCTCGTATCCAATCCCTCCCGCTTCCACATTCCACGTCGGTACCTTTCGCACATTTGTATTTGTTATTATCCGCAAAGGGAAGACACGTTTCCGCAAAGCTGCAGTGAATTGATGTTTTTCCTTCTCGCGGCGCAGAAGCGATTGGCTCCTTCACGGCTTCCTGTGCCGCTCCGTCGGAAACATCTGTGCGGTCTGCGCGAGTACGCTGCGGTAAACGGCTCGCTGTGACGCGCCGTGTAAAATCGGACTGCGCGGTGCGTGGGCCGAGCACCTCCGGGGATGAAGAGAGCCCTCAAAAGGCTTAGCGGAGGGTGGTGAAGTGGGACCGAGTGTTTAAGTCTGGAGTCATTTAGTCGGAAGGCTCGGAGAGGGGGGAGGGAAAAAAAAAAAAAACGGCACGGAAGCCGAGGGTCAACTTTGGGACACGCCACTGACGTCAATTTAAATTCTGCCTTGAAGCATTGAAATTCTGTCCGTTGCCCCCTGGTGGCGAGGGTAACACATACACACACACGAACCCAATTTGGAAGAAGTTGGGACGTCGAGTTAAACATCAATCAAAACAGAATCCAATGATTTGCAAATCCTGTTGCACCTCACTTGAATTGACATTTCATGTTCAAACGCATCAACTCGATTGACGTTTTTCGCAACTCATCTTGAACTTTGAACGTTATGGCTACAAACTGTTCCAGCAGCCATAAAGTTCTGAGAAAGTTCATCAAAGGGCTGTTTGGTACATCCCGCGGCGGAACGGCCTGCCCGGGAGCAGGTGAGTGCCATGGGTGGCGAGAAAAGGAACTTCCCTGAATTGCATTCCCAAGCAAAGATGGGGCGAGGGCCACCTCAGAGTGAACGAGCGCATGAGGAAAAATAGCCCGGCCGTTTCAGGACACGTGCGAGGAATTGGGGGATTTCATCACGGACCATCAAAGAGTTCCGAGAATTTGGAGAAATCACTGCATGCAAGCGCCTGGCTGGGCCCAAAAAGCAACGGTGAATGCCCGTGACCTTGGACGTCCTCGGGCGGCGCGATCCGGACTGTTCTGGAGTGGCGGAGCGGCAGCGCCGGCATCTCTGACGGGACGAGGCTAACTTTGCGCATCTGCGAAGGCCCCGTTCGTGCTGAAAGCGACATTGGAGAAACATCGGCTTCCTTCAGCGAGACAAGGCCAAAGCGCATTCTGCCGGTGGTGCGACAGCGTGGCCTTTTTCGTCCTCAAAGAGTGTCGGCACTCGACTGGCCCGTCTGCAGTCCAGACCTGCCTCCCGTTGAGTATGTCTGCGCATTAGGAAGCGTCAACTACGTGACCGCAGAGAACGGCCGAAGCTACGCCTCAAGCAAGGACGGGAAAGGCCTCCACCCGCAGAGCTTCGCCAATGAGCGTCCTCGCGTCCCAGAGCTTCGCCGCAGGTTGTTCCAAGAAAAGCCGATGTCACACGGCGCTCCGCCTGACCCCGTCGAAGCGTTTTTGGAAGGCGTCTACGTTTACGATTCTTTGCGAAAAAGCAACCGAGTCGATCCGTTTGAACCTGAATTATCTTTGTAGTGTCATGAAATCGCGGTTGAACATGATTACTTTTTTTTTTTTTTTTTTTGGAATGTTTAACTCAACGTCCCAATTTGATTGGAATTGGCTTTGTAAAATGGTGTCATTACGAGGGAGGGTCCCAGCTGGAGGTCTTTTACACTTTTACATGAAAATCTGTCTGGGAAAGTTGCCCACGAAGCACACATGCCGTCCAAAACCACTTGACATGTTTTTTCTCGAGAGGGACAGGTTTAAAAAAAAAAAAAGATCCAGAAGAGCAGACAGGCACGAACAGATCCCATTTCGCATGTCCGAGTTGATTCATTCGATTAATTTGACTCCCCAGGGCCAATCATCAGAGGGAAAAGATGTGCTGGCGGCTACCTCAGGAGTCAACCGCGACTGAGACATGAAAGCCGCCAATTTGGATTCCACAGATGAGTCAAATCCGAGGAGACCAAAAGAAAAAAAAAAAAAAAAAAAAAGTCCCTAGAGCGAGTCGCAATTTGACTTTGTGGTCGGAGAACATCAAAGTGTGTGTGTGGATGTGGGACAAGCGAGACCCAAGAGAGCAGGACACAGTGCGGAAAAAAAATGTAATAATCAGCAGTGCTGGGACATTTTTTTATTTATTTATTTTTTTTGCTCTAAAAACATGCTTGCCATTTTCTATATTGCCGATTTCACTATTTGCAAGGTTGCTCTGTGATGGGGGGGGGGGGGGGTTAGTTGTTGCTGTCCCTTTTTTGTTCAGTGGCAAAGTCCTCCAGAGCAAAACGGAAAGAGTGCCAAGAAACAATCCTAATTGGGATCAGTGGCCAATTTTGTACAATACGTCAGGCATTGTTTGCTGGAAAAAGTCTGGATGTGGTTTTGCCTCAGCAGCCACCAGAGGGGGGGAGGGAAGACAAAAAAAAAAAAAAAAAATATGCCGCCGCCTCTGGACTGCCAGGCAGCCTTCAAAGGCTTTTCACTGCACTCAGCGCGGAGTTGAAGCAAAGGGCAAACATTCAGCGTCAAGCTTCATGCGGCACACGTGTGCTCCAAATGCAAAGTGAGCGCTGACGGCCGCGATGAGATTCATCCCAGCCGCTCGCCAAGGAAGATTTGCGGCTTTTCCCCCCCCCACCCAAAACAAAAAACAAGCAAAACAGCAATGGGGGCCCGGAGTCAGTTCAGTGCTGCTCTACCATCACATGACTCAAGTCGCCAACGTCAGCGCTTTCTTGGCTGACACGACTCAGACTCAAGTCGGCTTTGACTTGAAATCTGCTGCCGGTGGGGGGGCGAGAGCGGGGGGATCAGTATTTCCAAGACCCCTGTTCCATTTGTTGCTTTTAGGAAAGAAGTCATTGCGGAGGGCGCACAAACAAGCCACGCGACCTCCAATCCTCTTTCCTTATTGGAATGGATGGAAATGCCATCAATCCGTTCCAAATTACAAACACAATAAAACCAGAAACGATTGACATCATGTCAACGTGATGAAAAGAAATTGACTGTTTTTTTTTGTTTTGCTTTAGTTCAATGGATGTCTCAAATTTGGGGGCAAAATTCCACCGTGACAGAAAAGGTCGAGCGTTCCAGACAATGGATGGACAGATTGGACAAATACGCGCGGAGACGGTCACAGCGGCTCAGTCAACTGCTGTCATAGCATTTCTTGGTCGTTCTTCTCGGGGGATTAAGAATATGTGCATGTGAGTCACGTTCTATGTCCGCATGCGTTGCCGACAAGAGAACCGCACGGCACATAAAAAGGCACGCGGCAACGTTACACGGCGGCTTTTGGGAGACGCTGAAGTCGCGAACAAATCTTCTTCGAGCGCGGCCTGTCCGGCGCGTGGAGGATGGCGACCGATCGTTTGTGTTTCAAACCCAAACCAGCCTCACGTGGTTTCTTTGTTTTTTCCAAAGCGTTCCTCAAAATGATGAATGAAAAGTGACAGTGTGACATTGAGCCGATGCTGGAAGGCCCGGCTGAATTTCCCTTCGCAAGCTTCCTCTCGAAAGCTTTTTCAGACAGCTTCACCTCCCACCGACCGGCCTCGCTCCACTTTTCTTTCCCCACTCACACTCACACGCAGACACCGACGGCGTCGTGACATTTCTGTGGTGAGCTGCCAGCAGACTTGTCCAAACCTGCAGCGGAAAACCCGCGTGAGGAAAGTCGTCCTCGCGATGCAGCACGTCGCCTCGCCTTCC